CAAAGAGGCAGGCACCCTGCTGCTGAAGCTGCTCATATCTCTCCCTGTGGCATCTTCAAGGAGCCCTGGTGGCACGGTGGTTAAAGTGCTCGGCTGCTAACTGAAAGGTCGGTGGTTCAAACCCACCAGCTGTCCGTGGGAGAAAGATGTGGCAGTTTGCTCCCGTAAAGATTTACAGCCTTGGAAACCCTATGGGGCAGCTCTGCTCTGTCCTAGGAGTTGGAATCCACTTGACAGCGGTGGTTTTTTTTTTTGTTGTTGGGTGGTGTCTTCCCCTCCCCCCTCCCAAGTACTCAAGTTAGAGGGGGAAAGAGCAGGGCAGGTTTCATTCTTCAGCAGTGTCATGGATTGAATTGTGTCCCCCAAAAATATCTGTCAACTTGGCTAGGACATGTTTCTCAGTATTGTATGATTGTCTACCATTTTGTCATCTGATGTGATTTCCCTACGCGTTGTAAATCCTATCACTATGACGTAATAAGATGAATTAGCGGCAGTTATATTGATGAAGTCTACAAGATTAGATAGTGTCTCAAGCCAATCTCTTTTGAGATATAAAAGAGAGAAGCAAGCGGAGAGATGGGGGAAACTCATACCACCAAGAAAGCAGTGCTGGGAACAGAGCACGTCCTTTGGACCTGAGGCTCCTGTGGTGATACGCTCCTAGACCAAGGGAAGACTATGACAAGGACCTTCTTCCAGAGCTGACAGAGAGAGAAAGCCTTCCCCTGGAGCTGGCGCCCTGAATTCTGACTTGTAGCCTACTGGACTGTGAGAAAATAAACTTTTCTTTGCTAAAGCCATCCACTTGTGGTATTTCTGTTACAGCAGCACTAGATGACTAAGGCAAGCAGGTATCTGTGAATGGTTGATGCTGCTTAACCCTCTCAGGGATATTGTCATTTTCTAAAGATGCTATGTTAAACCAAATAAACCAGTTATATGGAGGAACTTCTGGAAGTGTAGCAGAGTAAAATGGGAAACAAAAATTAATTTAATAGAGGATTTTGAGAGATAGGGAAGAGGTGGGAGAAGGCTACCATCTAAGCAGGCAGACCTTGCATTGGTGCTTTCTAGATATATGTAGAATGAATGAGTACTAAGTGGCTGTTTTCCCCAGCTTCTTTCATTCCTGGCTTCAGATTCTCTGAGCTACAGGTTGTTTGGTTTGGGTCTGTTTACTGAGCAAATGGGCAGAGTGACCAGGTGGGGTTAACCTAGCCAGGCTGTGTAATTCGTTTGTCAAGTGAGGATCCCTGTGTTCTTGTGTTTTACATAAGTTTTTTTTTTTTTTCCGTATAAAAGTAACACATGCCCGTTAAAAACTAAAGATAAAGAAATTGCCTAGAATGCCACCATCCAAAGAAAACCACTGTGAAAATGTCTTTAATATTTTCTTCCCGTTTAATTAATAAAGTTGGCGTTTTAGTTTTATTTTTTCTTTTTCTGCTGAGGACTATGATTATCAGTTTTGAGGAAAGGGTACTTAATGATGGCTAAAGGGTAAGTCTGTAAAAGCAAAGTAAGTGAGAACATTATATGTAGTTCTCTTGTGTCCTTGCTCATTTTAAGTATCGAATTGCCTATTAAATGAATAATTTCTTTTGTAAGGATCAGCACACAGCTGGTTCCTGTGAGGTGGAGATTAAAGATGTCCCAAGCGTCCAATTTTTCCAAGCTGCTGTGCCACTCCATCATCTCTAACATCAACTACTCCTCTCGCCTCAGTACTCTCCCTCCTGTCTTTGGGTTCCCTAATTCCTTGCAACGTCTGACAGAACTCAGGAACCATATAAAGGAAATGGCTCATGCACTTGTGGAGGCTGGCGAGTCCCAAATTCGTGGGTCAGGTGTAGACTTCTCCCTGGCCCTCAGTCTCCGCCCAAAGACACTTAGCTTTCTCACTCTGTGGGCCTGGAAGCCCATTGCGCCATCTCCTGCGGGTCTCTACTTCTTGGTGGTGGTGGGCTCTCTTCTTTGCTCTGGAAATTGGCTGTCTTTTAAGGCAAAACTGACCAATCCCCTTGGTAGGCCAGATAACCCTATCACACAGGCACCTGGGTGGGAGTTACAAGACCATGGCCAGAAAGGCCACATATAAAATTAGTCAATCCACTGCACATATTCTGAAAAATAAATATCTTTTCTTTTACAATTCTTCTCCTCAGCCTCAAATTAGTGCCCCCAAAAGCTTTTGTTTCCTGTGATCAGCTCTCTCCCCCCTCAGCAGTGATAATATCACTGGTTGATGACCAGGCCCCTGCCTTGCACAGTGACCTAGCTCTGTGCCTTAGACCTTCTTCCAGGATCTTCACCTTTTCTCATTTTCCTGGTTCTTTCCCTAAAGCATTTTAACATATTCAAGTCTTACATCTTTAAAATAATCAAACTCCAGGCTAACCCAGTGTCCCTCCAGCTGCAACTTCATCTCTTACTTTTCCTACCAGCCAACTTCCTGAACCTGTTCTCTGCCCCTGCTTTCTCCAGCCTTGCTTCTCAGACCCCTTCTCAGCCTGCTGTGGTCTAGCGTCTGTGATCACCGCTCAGCTGAAACCACTCCCACTAAGGTCATCAAAGGCTTCCTGGTGGTTAAATCCAAATGGTTCTCCTCAGCCTTCATGTACTTGGCCTTACAACACCCACCATGACACACACTCCTCATTTTCCCCTTCACTTCTAGAACTCCAGACCCTGCTAGAGTGTGCCCACCCCTCCCTGCTTCTCCTCAAGCTTCTTTGCAGGCCCCTCCCCTTCTGCCATCATGCATGTGTTTCTGTTCCTTCAGTTCCAGCCTGTTGCCTCTTCTCGCCTCATCTCATCTTTTCTCTTCAGTGGAATCTCATTCATTCCCATGGCTTTATTTGCCACTTTTATATAAACAGCAATGACTCCCAAATCTCTGTCTCCAGCCCGTCTCTCTCATGAGCTTGAGACCTCTCTGTCCAGCTGCCTACTGAGCATCTCTACATAGATGCTGCACAGATACCTAGAAGTTTACAGCCCCACGCAGACTCCTTCTCCCACCAGCCTGGTCCTTGTCCTGTGCATATCACTTCAGTGGATACTGAAGCGATTTCAGTGTCCTCCTATTTTGATTCATATTGCCTAATCAATACCAAATTTTTCAGTTTATTAAGAGTTTTATGAACATGAACACCATATGGAAACCACGAGCACCGAGGTCTGTGGCAGCCTTACTCAGTCACACGACATCCGGTCCTGGTTGGAGAATTCACACATTTTCCAAGCACTCTACATCCAGGGAAGCGTGTCTTTCCTCACCAGGGTCTTTTTTCTCACTAACCCCATCCAGACTCTGTGGAAGATGAATTTGTGCAGATGTGTTGGGAGAGATGGGAAGGGGCTAGTGACTTGGTTATGGTGGAGCGCCAGCAATTTGAGGCCTCATATTTGCTGAAAAGCATAGATTTCTTTTTCTCTACTAATTTATTTATTTATTTATTGTCTAATATTTCCACTGAAGAGGTTAAGTCTTAGATAAACTTATATTTCAGGACTTTAATGGAGTGAAATAATGGCACAGTATAGCCTTTTCTGAGTTCTTTATATTTATTTGCATATTATATTCAGGTTCCTTTTTAGTTCAACTCAGGTCAGAATTGGCTATGTATATGATGTCGTCTGATCCATGCTGTGTTATCTACACATTTTCTTAATATAGGCCCCTAGTCAGTATTTTCCAGTGTCGTCTTTGGTCAGAGCAGTCACATTTAAGTGAAGACGGCCTGTCCCTGGTCTATTCCAGATCTCTTGTTAATAACAGAGAGTGCCTGGCCTGCTCTGGGGTTCTGCCAATTTTCAGTCCTCTGATTTAATTATTACTTGTTCTGACATGATGCTGATTTTCTTCACTATTTCATGCTTCTCTCAGGAGAAATCCATTTGTTATTTATCCTTCATCCTCCTTTTGAAAATACTACGGTAAGGATTCCGTTTAAATGTTTTCAACTGTTTTCTTTTTTGGCAGATAGTTCCATGCAACATTTCTTAGAGGCTGTTCCATCTCCTCCATTGACTTTCTTAATGCCTCTGGATTATTTCTTTCTTTTAAAAATTATTTCATAGCTTTTAATACTTAGTAATTCATGCTACCATCAAAGAGGCAACTTTGTTCTTTTAATCATTAAGATTTCTCTGTGTCTCGATCCTGGATCACGAGATGATGCTGGAATTGGAGAAGCATCACTAGGTTGAGGCTGCGCATCTGAAGAGCAGGGTGACCAATGGAAGCAATACCATTGCCTTATTTCAGTTCCGAAGAGAAAGAAGCACAATTAGAAATCTCATATTGTGTTGTACAAAACCTGTTTGTGATACTGGTGTAGAAGGGAAATATAATAGCCAGGTTTTACGTTTTCCACGCTGTAATGAGAAGGATACGCTCTACATTTCTGTGTACTTGCCCTACAGTATATGGAGTCAGCAGCATAAGATAGTGCACTCAATCAGTCAATATTTATTGATTATCATTTCCTAAAAAGAATTGCACCAGGTACTGTTGGGGATGCAGAGGATTCAAAATGCACCTGATGTTTAAGACACGTGTACATTTGCTGCAACTCAGTCTGAAGCACAGCACGGAGGAGGATGCTGGGCAGAGGAGAAGGGAGTGGCTCTGCAAATATTATGCACTCCAATACACTGGAAATTAAGATGCAGGTTAAAAAAAAGATTTTATGGCAGCCTTTTAAGCATAAGCTTTATTTTTCTGTAAAACATTAAGAGTAGTATATGGTATCAGTTTATGGCAATAAGTGATTTTTAAAGAATAAAGCAAATAAGTCAGTAATTACTGAGTGGGCCACACCTGGGTGGATTAAATATAACCAGTGGACCTGTTTGCTCTGTGATACTTCACAGGCCAATAATTAGAAATTACCCAAGATTAATGAGAAGGATTACAGATTGCTTAGGTGCTAATTTGTTGCCTTGCACATATGGCCTAATGTCTCACGTCACCGTGTACTCTCTGTTTTCAGCATGCACTTCTGGCTTTAAAGTTTATACTTGCATTTGCTATACCTGATAAACCACGGCATATCCAGATGAAACTGGCTAGATTGGAATTTGAATCCTTGGAAGCGCTCAAGCAGCAGGTAAGAGAAACTGTCCTAAATAATAGATATATTTCCTTAGCAAATGATAGGAAACATAATTCAGAAGAATCACTCTCAGCATTTCCTTCAGCCTTGAGGTTATCAGTTTAAATAAATACAGAGAAGTATAATTTTTAAGATGGCAGAATAAAACCCAAATCCTAACAATATGAGCAACAAATAGGTTTAAAGAACTAAACTAAACAAAACAAGAATATTCAAGCAATGTTAAATAAAGAATGCAGCTAGCATCCTGCAGAAGAACAAGACAGAGATTCCTAAGAATGCTCTGAGTTCACCCTGGGGCAGTTCCCCACAGTTTCCAGTTCTGCCCTCTATAGAAACATTATGGAAGGAGAAGTGAATAAATAGAATTCTGAATAATACCTTGAGGAGAGTGAGAGAGAAAGTGTGGGCAGGAGTGGTGGAAATGGCCAGTAAAGTAGAAACTCCTTTCCCAGTGACTTCCATGTTCTACCAGAGACCTAAGGGAGAAAGAGAGAAAATTCTAAAAAGCTGTGCTGGATTTCACCAAGAGTCCCTGGGTAGTGCAAATGGTTAAGCGCTCAGCTACTAACTGAAAGGTTTGCGATTCGATCCCACCCAGAGGCGCCTTGGAAGAAAAGCTTGGCAGTCTGCTTCTGAAAGATCACAGCCTTGAAAATCCTATGGAGCAGTTATACTCTGTAACACATGGGGTCGCCATGAGTCAGAATTGATTCAACAGCAACTGGTTTGAATTTTTTGTTTATTTGTTTGGATTTCACCAGTTTGGTGATTTTCTGCTTAAAGGAGAGTGAGAGTAGGGAGACAGAAGATTCCTAGATGCCCAGAGCTAGTTCTCTCCAGTGATAACATAAGAATTTAACCAAAGAGAAAATCAGTAAGGCTGTATCAGCTGAGGGGACAAGCTCTGGGTCCAGGACCGCTCTGCCCCGTGCTGTCTCTTAGGCCTCCAGACCACCTTTCACAGGAGTATTTTCTCTTACGTTTGGAGAGTTGAGAGAAAAAATTGGAAGGAGGAGCCACCCAAGCTGACCCTGTGTTAGAAGTAAGGACCCCAAGGGTATGTCACCAAACTGGTAGACCCCACATTGGAGCAGTACATGACCCTGAGTAGGTGGTTACCCTCAAAGGGGACCTGTGATAAGATTACAGAAAAGAGGGAGAGCCCAGGTCCACCAGCTAGAGCTGTGCTCATGTGTGCCATATGGTTGGTCAGAAGACCATATCCACCGGTGTTCCTAGATGTAGGGCACGTTCACTTGTGGCATGTGACCTGGCCAATGTGTTTGTATCTTAAACCAAACCCAGCATCATGCTTAACAGCGAAACACCAGAAGCATCCACAGCAATGTCAGAAATCCTATTATCACTGCTGATATTTAGCATTGTTCTGGAGACGGTAACCGATGCAATTATCCAAGAGAAAGAAATAAGAAGTACAAGTAATCTGGAAGAGGCAAATTTATCATTACTTGAAGATTATAAGATTGTATACCTAAAAAACACAAGATCAAAGTTATTAGAAAATAGGAAAATTCAGTAAGGAGGCAAGTTACAAAGCTTATATAAAATCATTTGTTTCCTTTTACAAAAAGTAGTCACCACTTGTGAAAATATTGAAGAGAAGTTCCCATTTACAGAGAAACTAAAAATATATAATGCCCCTAGGTGTTAGTTTATGAAAGCAATATGGATAATCTATGTGAAGGATATTTTTAAAACCCTACTGGGATCAACAGATTCAGTCTCATGAAAATGCAATGCCAATTCAAATATGTAGAAATAAACATTTGAGAATAACAAGGAAACTTGAAAAAGAAGAAAAATGAAGGTGTTCTAGCTCTGCCACATATGAAAATATATTCTGAATAATATAATAGTTAAATACATTTTGAACTAGAGAAGAAATGTATAGATCAGTGGAACAAAGCAGCGAGTCCACAAATGGACACAAATAAAACTGCAAATTTAGTTTATGGTCAAAGTGACACTTTGTATTGTGAACAAAAGGGTTGTTTATTATATGGTTTGATGACAGCCAGCTGTTTGGAAAAATTATTGCACTATATCCTACCTCATTCCTTCTGCCTCCTCCTCCCAAAAGAATTTGGGTGACTGAGAGATTTAAATGTAAAAAATTATACCATAAAAGACCTATAAAAAGCCTTTTTATATCTCCCAATGAAAAATGCCTTCCTAGTCAGGACACAAAATCCAAAAATCACAGAGGAAAATATAAAGTAAAATTTATGAAAACTTAAAACTTCTACGTGACAAAAAAAAAAGCAAACTCAAAAGATAAATTTAACAAACTGGGAAAATACTTGCAACCTATGACAAAGGGTAATAGCTTTAATTCAAAAACAGCTTCTGCAAATCCATAAAATAAGACAGTCCAATAATCAAAGGATAACATATGAAGGGATACTCAACCTCACTCAAAATGAAAGAAAAGTAAATTCAAGCACCAATGAAATGCCACATTTCACCTGTTCTGTTGGCAACTGTGGGTTGATAACCTGTGCTCATTGGTTGTGGGGAAATGGACCCTCTTATATACATGCTATTGACTGAGTGTAATTGGTTCAGGCTGCTAGAATGCAATTGAATCAGAGTTTAAATTACCCTGCAACTCAAAGCAACTCTTTGCTAGGTAACGGTTTTATCTCAAAAAAGTATACCAAACCTATTCCTTGAGACGTTTTTATTAGCAAAAATCTGGAGACGACAGAATTCCTCAGTAGGGGACTAGTTAAATAAATTATGGTATATTCAGATGATAAAAAACTATGAATCTGTTTTTTGTTTGTTTTTAAAGATCTGTCTATGGTATGTATGTGTGTATGTCCCCTGGCTATTTTATTAAGTAGACAAAGCAAAATATAGAACAGTATGATCCCTTTTGAGTCAAACTTTAAAGAAAAGAAGAGGGAAGGGGAGAAAAATGAATAGATGCTGTTATGTGCATTTTTTCTCCTGGAAGGGCATACAGGAAACCCTGAGCAGTAGTTACCTTTGAGAAAGAACCAAGGTTTCCCTTTTTATATATAGTTTGAATTTTCTAACCACACACATTTATTACTGTTTTAAGTCCAGCAAGAGTTCTCTGTCAGAGAGGCCATTTACCATTTGTTATCTGTATACTTTTCTGTATTTAATATTCATGTAAGTAAAAAAGGACTGAAGTCCCCCTTCATAGTCTAAGTAGGTGGTTTGAATAATTCCTTAAATTCCCTGGTGCCATTTTCAGACACATATGGACACATCCTTCACACACTCTTTCCTCCTTCATTCTTCTTTTTACAAACATATGCTTTTTATTTTTTTTTTAAGAAAAAAAATTTACTCATTGGGTGAAATTTTTAGAGTAAAATTTATTTTCACATAACGTGTATGAAAATGAGGTCATGAATCAAGTGTGGAATGAAGTCGCAGTATGAGTTAAAGTGGGATTTGCGTGTAACCTCCTCAGTAAGGTTTGAGTCACGTCAGAGTGACACCAAGGCTAGAGAACAGCCCCGCAGGCTTATGACTTGGCACTCCATTCAGTACTGTAACAATATTCTAAAGTATTTGTCTTCATTTAAAGGAGAGGCTAAGACCACTTGGGTGAGAAACAGGGAAGTAGGAAGAAAGGGGCTGGAGGTGGAGAGAGTACAGCCCCTCCAAACAGCAGTGTTCCTCAGACTTTGCAAGGAGCCGGTGGGTGTGGACAGGTTTAAGGCCTCAATTTCAGGTCCTCAGCTTACACATGAACTCTTTCCTAAAACACAACTGCCCGAGGATGCCTGGCATCATGCTAGCTCCTCCTGGCTGTCCATAGCTACCTCTTCCTTCACAATTGCCCTTCTCCCACCTTGCAGAAGAAAGGCATGCCTTCAACTATCTTGAAACCCCACCATTTGCCTCATCCTCAGGGGTCAAAACCTCCAGGGTGACAGAGTACCTTTCAAAGTGGAGGTGTCAGGGGCTAATCTGCAGTCGGCAAAGGCACCCCAGTCTCTCGCCCAACAAAAACAAATCCAACTCCTTAAGAGATGCATTTCCCAAATGGGTCCAACATTTACGTCCAATAATTATTTATCAAAATGTGTTATATTTTATATAATTTGTATCATTTGTGCACCTGTAATAACTGTAATGATGTCAGTCCAGAAGAAAATTTTAAACACTTAGGCTTATAGTTACAGGAAATTTAAAAAGCTTTTAAACTTCAATTTATGAGCAAATGATTGTAGCGAAGTATGTGAGAATGATTAAGACTTCCAAGCAAAATAATATATTTTATTAGTATAAATTTATTTGGAAGAAGTGGAAAGAAAATATGATTGCAAAGAGAAAAAAGGAAAAATATAAAATTTTTATTACTAATCAAGAGCATCTTCATATATTTTTTTAAATGGGTGATGGTGAGTATCAAATCACGGTGATTAGAATCCCTTGGATATCTATAAGAGTGATCTAAGTTTATTTTTAAGTGTCAGCGTTTACTTTTTGTTGTAACTAATATATGATGAAAAATTTTGGATGTCAAGTTAAAATTGGGGAGGCATAGCATCAAAATATATAGGGGAGTATGTAAGCAAAAATAAAAAAAGTAAAGCATTGCCTCTGGAAGGGTTTGGTTAATCAAGCTTCTCCGTTGATTCCATTCCTAGTGCTGTTCTGTAGATTGGGACAGGTAGCTTCCAGGCTGGTGTAGATGCACCTTAACCCCAGGTCAAGGTGAGATCCTGCTTCACATTAGTAAAGCTTTCCTTTCACTCAGATTTCACGTTACCATGTAAATTTGTCAAAAAGGCAAAGCTGGTTATTATGAGTTGGAATCAACTCAACAGCAACAGGTTATTATTATTATTATTATTATTATTATTATTATTAACATGTCTCATGTTATTAAATACATTTGCCTAAAGGCCTACCGCAGGGCTGTCATGTTTGCTTCTGGGGGTTGCCATGGATATTAGTGTTCACCATGGATATAGCTACATGAC